AGAAACCCCCACTATAAGGCAAGTTGCCCTTGTCTGCCAACTTTTTCCTGGGTCTCCAGTGCTGATGATATGTACAAGCAATAAGAGGGCAGGGGGAATTGTATTTGCTGAGTTCTGGGATTCAGTTACCAGAGGTCAGCAAGGACCCAGGAGAGCTGAAATATCCTCCAAAGAACTGTAGGCCTTCACAGAGTATGGGGGAGTCTTTCTCTGTAGGAGGAAGCCTGTATGCTGCCATTAACCATGTGAATTACTAGAGGCGCATACAGATGAGGTAATAAAAGAACGGTTTACCACACCGCTAACCACACCCACTTTAGGCATGACTAAAGACATATACGGATGGACGTAAAGACATATACGTACGTAGGCGGTGAACTACGTCACTAGCCGGGCCCACTTTTGGGCATGGCTAGGGGGCGTTACAGGGGAAGGCATAAAAGACCGAAGAACGGAAGTCTTGGTCGCTTTTTCCGGATTTCGGCTTCCGGTTCGGCAGCAGGAAAACTACTGGGCTCATCTGGGTTACTTGTTTGGTCTCTTGTGAGTAATTTCTACAATAAATACTTAGTTTTACTTTCAGTAAGTGTGCCATTTATCATTACAGTGTCATTTGGAGCATCATTTCTCCATACACTTTGGACTGATGGTCAGGGTCTTAGTTAAGTTTCTATTGCTGTGATAAAATACAATGACCAAAAGCAACTCACAAGGAGGAAAGAGTTTATTTATCTTACAGTTCATACATCATCATTCAGGAACTCAGAGAGGAAAGGGTTAATTTATCCTACAGCTCACAGCTCATCAGAGAACTAAGGGCAGGAATTAAAGGCAGGAACCCGGAGTGAAACGCTGATGGAGGCTATGGGGGAACACTAATTACTAGCTTTCTCTTCCTGCATTCTCATATACCACAGGACCACAGCTGCCCAGGGGTGGCACCACCCATAGTGTGCTGGACCCTCTACAAAAATCAGTAATTAAGAAAGTGTGCTATAGGCAAATCTTATGGAAGCATTTTCTCAATTACGAGTCCTTTCAAAATGACTCTATCTTGTATCTACTTGACAAAAATGTGGTCAACAAAGGCAGGAAAGAAACAATCTTAGAAAGAAAAGAAGTCTAGCTATGGGATGGAGGGCAAAGAGAACTAGTGGTCATAGGACCTGACATCTGAACTTTGAAACAGAGGACACTAATGTTTAGCCAGTTTGTCACACATATGGAAATCTGCAACAATTCCACCTGGAGTCAGAGTTCCAGGCCTGCAAAGGGATGGCTCTGACCTCTCCCTCAAAAGATCTGAAGCAGTAATGAACTTAATCAAACTAAGCCTACAGTATAGTCCAGGCCCAGGCTAACCATGAGCAGCCTCTACTTCCCAGGCTGTTCATTCTTTCTATAAAGTCAGTCCTCTGACTCTACAGGTTTTATACCTGAGGATTCAACCAACTGTGGTCTCCTTTCCGGTGGGGAAGGAGTGGGTATTACTACATTTTAACTATACACACATAACAGGATGACTAACAATGTTTGGAAAAGGTGCATGAAAGCTTTATGCACATACAGAGCCATCTACAAAGTGAGGCATCTGTGCAAACTGTGCAAAATGTGTGTTGTGTGAATCAATAAAAGATATACACTATGTAAGAAAACCATAGCAGTAGGTTAATGAAAGGTGTGTGTAGCAATGACCCTGGTGGGTAATTCTTGAGTAACTGATGAATCACAAAATTGATCTTAGATTTGTATCAATAAATGACAATTCATTCCAATACAAAGTATTCACTTCTGTACCATAATCTCCCTTTTACCTTTATAAAGGGATTGGTTGTGATAATTAACCATTTATAACCAACCCCATTTAAATGAAAACAAAAATTCATAAATAATATTTGGGAATTTGGGCATTGTTCATTCCAAACTGCTTCCTGCTGGTTGGGGGTGCTGTCCATACCGTGGGGATCATGACAAAACACAGAAACCTGGCTAAGTCCTTGTTTTTTGTAGTCTGTAAGGCTACATCATCTCAGCATTTTGAGATATTGGATCACCTGAAACACCGTTTCAGGGGGTCTTGCTTCATCAAACCATAGAATTCTGGAAGGAATCCACAGCTTTTCATTTTCTGTGGAAACACTAGCAAAAACTCTTTTCCCAAGTAACCTGTACTTATATTTCAATTTAGAAGTCAAAGTATTATTAAAATATATAAATTGGATTAATTCAGTAGCATTTCTTTTAGCAGTTGTTGCTGCATTTCTATAGCAGTCAAACAATTCAAAGACAACACGATAGCATACAGTATCCAGACTCTCTCTGTACTTTTCATCTTTACGTGGCTTTTTTATTACTCTATTTCTTTTACTTTTATTTATCTATTTTTTCTCTGAGACAGGGTTTCTCTGTGGAAATCTACCTGCCTCTGCCTCTGCAGTGCTGGGATTAAAGGCTCGTTCCACCACACCCAGGCATTATCCTGTTTCTTTTTCTCTTCCAAGCCTACATATATTTTTTATCACACTATAAAACTTTTAGAGGTTTTATTTTATCTGACTCTTGACTTTACTGTAAATCTTTGTTTTTCTGGTCACATGTCTGTTATCTGCTAAACAACATTGCTAAAATCAAAGCCATGACTCTTTTAACTGCTGTCTTTACAATATGGAGGTGTAAGTTTACTGCCAGCACTGGCCGCACAAGTCTCTGCTTGTCTCTAGCAAAACAGAGCTACCAAGAGGCCATGTTTCTTTCTATTCTTCTGTTTCTAAAATCCCTTTTAAGCTTTTGTCATTCTACATGGAAATTAATGCAACCAACTTTGGGCACCATTATGCAATATGTACTGTTTCCCACCAGCTGCCTGGATCCCAATGCAGTCTCTGCCCCCGAATAAAACACAGGACACTATATTAATTATGAAGCTAATGGCCATTTGCTAAGGTTTCTTAATTGCTATCTCTGACTTAATTATTAACCCATAATTACTAATATATATTCTTTACCAAGGACGCAACCTCATTGTCTTTTTTCTGGGATCACATGGGGACCCCCACACTTAAATACATTTCCCAGAATCCTCCTCGACTCCTAAGCATCCTGGACTCTTCCGGCAAATCCACCTCTTCCTCCTGTGCCACCACCTTGGCCCCAAAAACCTCCTCTGCCTCTACCTCCACCACCAAAGCCACCTTCACCCTTAGGTTTGTCCCAGTCAAAGTAACTTAGTTCCCATCAATCTCTCCATCAGGACCAGGCTGGCAGGAAGAATCTCATCGCAGATGAGTATGAACCACAAGCAGTGTCTTACTCTCAAGAGTCACATTTAGGAATAAAATAATCTTAGTACACAATGAAGAAGTACTGAAAATTTAAATTGTTTTCTTGTTAGAAAAAATATCCTCTAAATTCTGAATATTTGTTCCTTTCCAAATGCTAACTTACATAGCAGAGCTGAAAAACAGAACACAACTCACCTCTACGTGGAAATCACGGTCTACAAGAAAAGGGAGACCTGCAAATAACTACCAATCAACCAAACAAATGCATTACAGAATGCAGAAGGAATGTTACAGAAACCACGACAGTTACAAGAGACACTAATTCAATTAGGAAAAGCCAGGTCAGTTTAAAGTAACAGTGAGATTTCACAGATGGATGGATATATATATATATATATATATATATATATATATATATATATATATATATGAAATAGGCATAGAAGTGAGAGAAACGGTAACTTGAAAGAGTGGAAGGCTGTACTGGTTCACAGATCCTACCAATAACACAGCAGTCTTGTGGACAATTTGATCCAAGGGGACAGCAACAGAAAAAGGAAGAGTAGGCAGTGGATTTGGTTGGGTATGACGACTTGAGCCAAAATGAAAAACCTTGAGAGCATCACATCACAGATCCTGGGAGGGAAATAATAAAGCAGCTCTTTGCATGTTTGACAGTACCTCTAGAACATACAATGTTGTCGCTACAGTTTAGAATCTGATTTCCTTCCTGGAGCTTTGATCACTGAACAGTGAGGAGACAGGAACAGATTGAGAAAGAAAAGAAGGAAATTTGGAAATTTTGAGAGATGAAACTGCTTAGATGAAGAAACTTTCTCACCATAAATACTTTATTAGTGATTTTTTTGTACTCATTTGTAAGTGACAAGGTTTATTAATAAAGCAATGCTGGTCTAGTTCATTACCATGTAGCAACAAGTGAATATTGATTTTAAAATTCCAGTGTAGGCCATGTTTTAATAGAAGAAAATGTAGAACCTCATGAAGACTTAGATATTAGATATCCTTAGGAAAGTGTTAGGCTCCAAGAACAGTTCAGCAACAGCAGCTTAAATGACAATAACGCTGATTCACTCCATCTGCTCTAGAATAGCACCCGACTCATAGTGTCTGGTTGCATGTTCTAATAGGTCACCTCTGGTCTTTGTATACACGCTGCATTTTCTTGCATTGCAGTCATAGTTGAAGCAAAAAAGAGGGAAGAATAATGCAACAAAAACAAAACAAAAATCAGATGAAAGAGACTAGCAGCAGAGTTGGCCAGGACAGCCACAAATCCAACTAAATCAACTCACCTTCCTTGACTATGTTGTGGCTAGAGATAGTCATGCAGTCTACTTACGGCCAATGAAAGGAGCCCTGCCCAGAAAGTTTCACTTTTATTTCATTGGCCAAGTATCTGGGTTCATGGCTATCCTGACCAACATAGTTTTCAAGAAAGAGGGAATGAGTCTCAGCAGTGAGCAGTGCCTATCACAGTAGCCTGCCCAGCTACCCTGAGCAGCCAGTCCAGCTGCTCTGCTGTAATCCTACTGCCACATGACATGCTGTTGAACACCTGCAAGCCTAGAAGGGAAACGAATCATTTTTCTTCAAGAATCAGTTCCTTTTGTTATTAATGAAGGCTTCGATGCACATCTTTTACTTGAAAAGGTGGCCCAGGGTAGTGTAATCTGAACAATAAGTTGAAGACAGGGATTTTGGAAGTTCACATAAATTTATTATATACAAAAAGACTTTTAGGAGTCCAAGCAGACGGTTGGCATTTTATCTATTATGCATACCAATACCAATGAAAGTGTGTGCGCTTGCTAGAACTCCAACAGAAGCATTGGCACCTGCACACACTCAGTATTCCACATGCTCACCATAATGGACAAACCAGCTGCTATCTTCTTTCCTGCCCAAATATTTTCCAAATAATACCCTGTTTTTGTTACTGTAACGAGGTAACAAAATTCACAGAAGTATTTAACAATTGGCTACTATATATATGACAGATTGCTAAATTTACTAACAGTAATACTGTTCAACTATAAAATCCAAAAAATGCTACATAAATTACATGCTTGGTGGGCTTAATGCTAATTTAACTTAAGGTAGTAAAAATTAGTTTGATCCAAATATTTGTCAACAACATGAATTCTGTGACGTATGGAAGGGTGATGCTGAACTCACTGTTTTCCACTTCTTGCCACTAAACAACATATCAGCTTGCTGATCTCCTGAAATTGCATAAAACAGATAGGAGAGCAAATTTAAACAGTTGTTTGTACATTCAATATTTACAACCCAAATCTTGCATGACTGACTGGAAGCAGTGAGTTAGAAGGTTTAGCTCACCGGCTGCCTGGAGTGATGGATGGCCTCGAAGAATTTCTTGTTCACTGACCAGATCAATCACATAACAAAATAAAAACAAAAATCAGCCCAATCCCAATTCCCAACATTTCCATCTGTATGCAAAGCTGTTGCTGGAAAGAATTTATCATAAAACATGATGTGAGGCTACCTAAGAATAAGAAAAAGCCCACCAAAATGATGTAGAATGTAAATACAAGGAATAAGGGGACTGTGTGATATTTTACTTTTTGGCTGAATATTAACTAAAATCTCATGACATTTATATTCCCAAAAGTTATGTCAATTCAAGTGGTATTTTGACTGAGCTCAGACATATGAGAGGGAGTAACAGTTTGCAAATCAGTGAAAGGTTTAAATATTTTTGGCAGTGTTTGCAATTGGATTTTACTTAATCAGACTAAAAGGTAGTGCTGTGACAATTATCATATACTGCTGCTGTTAATTATTTCAATGGTGGTGCTGAAAAGGGAGTCTGTTCGAGTGTGAATAGATATCTGCTGTTTCAAATTACAGTGCTGCACACACTAATGGCAAACCCCAAACATGTGTATTAGTGGAGCCAGCGGTGCAAATGAGGAGCTTCCTGGACTGTGGAGACAGGTCTGACTGACATCTGAGCTCCACTGTGGCCACCTTTAGCGAGGCTCTTGTGGGTAGTGGGTGATATCCAGAGTAACAGCTTCAAATCAGTTGTGGTGGGACTATTTATGCCACAGAAATTGGCAAATGCTACTCATGAGAGTCCCACCCCCATCCACCCCCACTCAAGAGAGAGGCGCTAAACACAGCAATCCAATTATTTATATGATCAAAATGTGGGGGCACAGTAGGCCTGAGAACTGATGAGCATAAGGTTCATTTCTAGTTTAGTGGGCAGAAGAGAGAGAGGTCTCAGAACCTGCATACTCCTTTTAGGACAAATAAAAAAAGTCTGTGGTTAGCATCCAGGGTGGTAAACATGTCATTTAGCATCTCCTGGGGCCCTTGAACAATCACGTTCTCCCCTGAATAAGTTTACTCCTAGAAGCAGAAGTGAGAGAAGAGGATGAGCAAGAGAATCCTACAAACCAAAGGAGAAGACAGAAAGACAAATGATGGGCAAATAAAGGACAATAAATAACTGAAAAGAGAAGGAAAGACACAGAAGGAGGAAGAAGCAGAAAATGGAGAAGGGAGTTAAAGAGAAACAGTAGGGAGATGGTGAGGGGTGAGGGGCAAGAGTCAGCTCCTGCCAACACATTACCAAATCTTACAGCAATTGATTCACAGTTGCCTCGCTTGGGTTCCTCAAAAACTCTCCACAAAAGTGCAATACAGTATCATACTAAAGAAATTACAAATGTCCTCCTCTCCATTTGAACTTCTGATGATACATAAGAAAATGTCTTTAAAATGCTGAACACATGGAGTCTGCTTTTAAGACTAAACCTTAGAGATGCAGGGTCTAGAGTTGAGGGCAGCAACCTTTACATTGTTGGAAGACTGATCTACTGTTTAGAAGCCAGACATCAGGGTTTGCTCATGAAGCACTGTGAGGAATTCTGGTCTGGGGTTCTAAATTCATAAACCAGGCAACTGCTAGGGCTGGAGGCTGGTAAGAAGACAAATGCTGGATACCTTTGAATGAACTCAAGATGACAGTTGTGATCTAGCTCAGTTACAGCAGCAGCATCTGGACAGCTTGCTCAAATACTTGTTCTGAGAGGGACCATCTTTTTCTCTCTTGAGTACTCTGGAGTGGGGCCTGGGAATTTGCAGATCCAATGTCATTGGTGCCAGAACCACACTTTGTGATGCACTGCCTCAGTGAAACAAAAAAACACAATCTGGGAATGATTGCATCAGCCCTCATGACCTAAAATGATAGCTGGCATCTTAGGAGGATTCAAATGAGAGAAAAACCTGATACTACTGAGAGGCAGCAGTCCCGAGAGAGAAAAATGTCATGGGCAAAGCTTTCTACCTAAGATGCTCTCAGCTGACTGTGGCACCTATAATTATTTTTTAGCAGTTAACTTTAAATTTTCTCATGGTTGTTCTCCTTACCTGAAGGGGCAGATTTACTGAAACTATGTGTATACTAAAGAACAATAGTGGACAGTTTAAATGTTTCATCTAACCACCATATTCTCAACTAGGTGTTATACAATTAGGTTGGTAGGCTTTGAAATGAACCAGAAACACAGAAATACCTATGAGATAAAAAGAGAGAGAAAGGAGGAAAGAGTTGGGGAGGAAGGTAATGAAAATAAAGTGGGTGAGGGAAAAAGGGAGAGAGAGGGAGAGAGTGAAGGGGGAAACCTTTCTAATGCTGGCTTCCATACCCACCTGCAATGACTCCCTTGTATTTCATGTGACCCTAACATACCAACATGTGGCTTCCCAGTGTTCATTCACTCATAGTGATAAATGAGTGCAAATACAGCTAGCCTTTCTCCACAGTCTAGCAACTTCACTACTATAAATGACTCCCATGTCTTAGTGGATGGGATCATTAGTGTCCGTCCTGCCACTGTAACCTCTTCGAAGCCTATGCCAAGCTTCTATCACCAAGCTGGCAAGGACACAAAAAAACTGTACTTATATTTTGGTTGCTGACAAAATATCATCCATTTCTCTTACCATTTTTAATGCCAAGAAAAAATTATTAGTACTTATTTGTTAGTAGGAGAAACAGAACTAAGCAAATTCAAGTTAACTCACCTAAAACTGTTACAATAGTTCACATTAGTGAAAACCAAAGAACTTCAAGACCTACTGTGCTGACTTACAGTCTCAAAACTGTAATTAATGACCCACTTTTTCTATAATATTCCCCTTCTGATCTATATAGATTTTTTATTCTATAAAATAATGAGTTCAGCCACAAACAAGTGCTCCTTGTCCAACACCCCAAACAAAATCTAAAACTTCCTCAAGTTGGCTAAACATGTATCATATTGCTACCTCTCAAGGATGAACATGACTGAAAAGGATGGGTTAATTGACCTATAAAACATCACACTAGGACCTGCAGTTTCTTAGACATACAAGGTTGCTGTTGGGGGAGGTACATAAACAAGTTTCAGGTGATTTAGCGAGAGAACTATGTGGCAAAATATGCTAGGCAGACAGCCAAGAAAGGTTGACCACCACACTTGGTTCTTATTTTCATCATTAGAAGATAACTTAGAATTCATATTATTTTATTGTCCTCACATTAATATTTATTTTAAGCAGAAATCATTATGGTAAACAAGTGAATGAGAAGCAAAGTATTTATGTAGTCCCAAGTTATAGTCTCCCAAAATGACTAAACACATAGTAACTTCACTGTGAGGCAATGTGATGGATAACACTTCACGTGACAAATGTGTCATCCCATGTGAATGCCAGATGCCTCTAGGAAACGCTATCGAGAAGGACATAGAACTTGCATACAATTCTTTCCAGAAATGCACACAAGGACTCTAATCATAAGACAACAACAGACAGATCAATAGACCTATATCAATGATTAATGGTTTTGAAAATTGTACAATGTATGTAAATGAATGTTTTTCCTTAGTAAATACATTAGAAGTCACCTGAAAGTAACATCTATAGATTTTTCTGAGAACCTCCATTGCTATTCAGAGGAAAATAGTAGCCCAAAGTTTTCATTAGACTCTTCAATGGCACTCTTGTTCTAGGCAATGTATTTTAGTTGACACTACTAACCTGGGATTCTAAGGCCACCTAAATATTATATAAACTTCCTTGATTAATCAGGGTAGATTGTGCTCTGCAGAGTCAAAAATCTGTAATAATTGTCTGTGCTTTCTCTGCTTCCTGTGTACAGATGAAATGTGATCATCTGGCTTCTGGCTTCTACTATCCTTCCTGCTTGGCCTTCCCTGTCATGAAGGGCATTATCTGTCTTAGTCTCTGTTCTGTTGCTGTAAAGAAACATCATGGCCAAGTCAACTCTTTTTTATTTTATTTTTTTGTTTTTCCAGACAGGGTTTCTCTGTGTAGCTTTGTAGACCAGGCTGGCCTCAAACTCACAGAGATCTGCCTGCCTCTGCCTCCTGAGTGCTGGGATTAAAGGCGTGCACCACCAACACCCAAGCATAGCAATACATACAAAGGCAAACATTAATTGGGTCTGACTTACAATTTCATTACTATTATTGGCATGGTGGAAGGCATGGTGGCATGTGGACAGACAAGTGATGAAAAAGAAGTTCAGAGTACTCCATCTGGATCCATAGGCAACAAGAAGAATGAAACACTGAGATGCCTTGGGCTTTGAAACCACAAAGCATACCCAAGCATACCCCAGTGGCACACTGCCTACAGTGATATACCTCAACAAGGCTACACCTCCTAATCTCCTTCAAGTAGTGCTACTCCATAATGACTAAGCATTCAAATCTATGAGCCTACCATAGGCCATTTGTCTTAGTTGGGGTTTCTACTGTTGTGAAGAGACACCACAATAATGGCAACATTTAATTGGAGTGGCTTACAGTTTAGAGGTTGAGTCTGTAATCGTAATGGTGGAAAGCATGGCGGTGTGGAGGCAGACATGGTACTGCAGTAGTAGTTGAGAGTACTACATCTGTAATCAGTAGGAAGAGATAGACACTGGGAATGGCTTGGGCTTTCAAAACCTCAATGTCCATCCTAGTTTCACACCTCCTTCAACAAGTTACACTAACTCCAACCAATCACACCTCCTAATCCCTCTCAAGTCATGCCACTCCCTAATAGTCAAGCACTGAAATCTATTTGCCTATGGGCGCCATTCTCATCCAAACCACCACACTCTCATTCTGGAGTCATATGCTAAAATGAACCATTTCTTCTCTAAGTTGCTTTTGATTATGGCATTTTATCA